TTTTGACGAGTTCTGCACTTCCACGCATGCGCAGGATGCATACAGCGCCTGCGCGATCATCCAGGAGCAGCTTGAGCGTTGCGCAGACACTAGTACGCATGCGTGCACCGCGCACGTGCACGAGGACGCCGCCGGCCCCGTTCCAACCGAACCGGTTGGAACGGGGCGAGAAACCCACCCCTGCCCCCCTCCCTCATGCATGTATGCGTGGCTCCCACATGGGCAGCAGACTCAAAAATCAGCTGGCCGCCAGGAGGTGCGCGCGTATGCATGGTGGTTCTGAGCTGGGCCACAGCTTGCGTGTCCACACAGAGGGCTCCACATGCCACCTGTGACACGCGTGCCATAAGTTCACCATCACAGACTTAGGCCATCAGTACAGGTTTCTGCTGCTTTATGGTCTTCTGATATTGAGTAACTCTTTTCTTCTCTCTCTTCCACAGCAAACACTTTCTCATACCAGAAACCAGTTCTAATTGTGCCAGAGACCACACACAAGAGCTACGTGGCCTTGTTAGGGAAGCCCTTGATACTAGAATGCATTGCTGCAGGACTGTAAGTATTTGGAGATGTCCGCCAGCAAAAATAATGTATGTACGTCCTTGCACAGGGAGCTTAAGTGTCCAAATGGACAAAAATGAACATTAGCCAAAGGACTGGTAGTACAGATCTGAAAGGCACTTTGCTAAACCCATAAACGGATGAAATATAGGAAGCCCTTGACTTGCAACCACAACTGAGCCCAAAACTTCTGTTGCCGAGGGAGACAGTTGTTAGTTAAATTTTGTCCCATTTTATGACCTTTCTTGCCACAGTTGTTAAACCACTGCAGTTGTTAAGTTAATAACATGGTTGTTAAGTGAATGTGGCTTCCCCGTTGACTGAATGGGGAATGGGAATGAGAATGGGAGAGCTGGGGGTTCACCGACAAATGCGCGCCCGACAAATGCGTGCTGCCAAAACCGCGGGAACAAAACCACGATGTCGAAAGCGCGCCCACTAAAGCGTGTTGACAAATGCGCACCGACAGAAGCGCGCCATCAGAAACAACACAAAAACAACGCAAAAACGTTAACAACCCTAACCCTAACCCTAACCCTAACCTAAAAACCCTAATCACGCTTTTGTGGGCGCAGTTTTGTCGGCACGCTTTCAACGTCGTGGTTTTGTCGGCGCAGTTTTGTCGGCGCGCATTTGTCAGGCGCGCATTTGTCGGGTCACGAGAGCTGGGTATACCTCGTGGGTATGATAACAAAAATGGCCAATGAGATAAGAGTACACCTTGATTTCAGTAGCTGTTTCTAATGCTATCCCCGTTCTTTTGTGGATAGGTTGGTAGATTGGAGAAGCTTATACCTGCATGTGTGCTTGAAAGGGAATGGATATATTTTAAGGCAGGTGTGTCAAACTGGCGGCCCATGGGCCGAATACCTCACACGGAGGCCACGCCCACCCCAGCTCCGTGAAGGGGGAAATTGTTGTGATACGTCATGTGTTGATAATGTGACGCCAGTTTGACACCCGTATTTTAAGGGGTTGTGACTTCTGACTTCCAATTGCTGAGGAAAATACAGCTTGGGATTTCATTTTTGCTCCTTATTGGTTTGGAGAGGCAGTGGAAACCTCTAATCCAAAGTCATTACCTCCCCCCCTTTTTTTTGACTGCATAGAAATTACTCCATCCTTTGAGTGGCCTTGGCAATATGTATTTAAAACATTTCTATAGCCGCCCATCTTATAACCAATTCTGGGTGGCTTCCAATCAAGTTGGATAGAAGCAGAGATTTAAAAACAGCAGTAATTAGAACAACATTTTGTTCATCTGCTATTCAGGGAACACTCAGCTCCTCCTGCCATTCAGCTGCTGGTTTGATGATGAGAAGGAAAACATCAGCAGAGAAGTGGAATGATGCCCTTTGATTACATGCTTAGTAGTGGTTTAATTAACTATGCTGTTAGGTAGCAACAAACAAACAATAATGAGAGGCCTGGTGTCTTGCTGTGGCAGTTGGCAAGCCAATCCCTGCTCTGCTATGAAACTCCCATTTCTCTGGGCCAAACTGCTTCACAGGTTTCTTATGACACACAAAATGAATATGGTAGGAGCTGAGTATCTGGTGAGCTGATCATCTGAGAATCATCTACTCCTCCGTCATAACACCAAATGCATTTAAATCAATGAGATAATTTAACTATGGCCCAAGTCAGCTTTCATTAATCTAGCACTTTCCAGATGTATTTATTTTTATTCATGTATTTATTTAGCTTGTCAAACATGTACAATATAACAGGTATAAGTATATACATGGGCCTTAACAAAGGAAATGAGTTCAAATAAATGGGGACAGTCGGACAGGGATGTTAGGCACGCTGGTGCGCTTATACACGCCCCCTTTACGGATCTCTTAGGAATCGGGTGAGGTCCACAGTTTAAGGTTGAAGTTGTATTGGACCACAACTCTTGTTATCCCCAGATAATGAACCTATAGGGAATCTAGATGATGGGCTCCAAGAAATCAAAAGAGTGCTAAATTGGGGGAGAAAGGACTAAACATATTTGACTGATGTACTAGTACTACTCTCTTGATTCAGATGCATCTGACAAGTTCTAAAGAAAAATTAATTGCAAAGGTAATAAAGGCAACTCCTTTACAAAAAACCACATACATATGTAACTATATATATGTATATATATAAACTATATATATGTATATAAATAGTTATATATGTTTTATTTGTGCTGATATGTTTTATTTGTGCTGTGACTTTAAATATATATATTTAAGCACAAATAAAAAAACACAAATATAACAAAGGCAACAGTAAAAATATTGGGTTTCTGTCGTGATGGACTCTTGTGACGAGCCGAAGGACAGATGATGGAAGCAGTTAGCTTCCTCCCATAATTGGGGCTTACCAGGGGTTGCCCAAATATGGGAGGAAGGTCATACTTCCATTCTCTGTCCTTCGGCTCGTCACAAGAGANTTGTTACACCTCCTTCGTAAGAGATGCTTAGAGGGTTGGCCCTCAAATTGAGAGGAACCCCAAACACCATGGGGCCAGCTTACTCCTGAACATTGGGAATACATTATTATTTTCACACACAGAGCAACCTAAAGACTAGACTGGAAATGCGTGCCCCCTCTCATCTCACAATATGTTGAGGGGAAAAAAATCCCTATTCCAATTGTCTGAGTTTTCAGGTCAGTGTCTCTCAACCTTGGCAACTTGAAGATGTCTGGACTTCAACTCCCAGAATTCCCCAGCCAGCATTCACTGGCTGGGGAATTCTGGGAGTTGAAATCAGGACATCTTCAAGTTGTCAAGGTTGAGAAACACTGCACTAGACCAAACTGGATTTTCAAAGATACTATACAGTAATAATAATACAAGACATGATAATTCTGCAAGGAGCAAATCTGTATGAATTCCATTTTTTCCCCCAGCTATAACCTTCCTCCGTTTCAAGTCTAAGTCCCAATTTTGATTCAGAACAAAGAAATGTAATCATATAGTACTCATCTCCTCTATATGCAGCCCTGAGACTGCTGGTTTTAGGAATGGGTTTCCAGTATTGATATTGGACTTTTGCACAGTGCACAATTCTCCTAGGTTCTGCTCTGTTCTTAATATCTCCATGATTCCCTCCTATGCTGGACATGTCCCTGACCTTACTTGGTCCTCTGATCCTCTTCTAATTGATTTCTCTCTCCTTACCCCAGTTCTTCTGTGTCTCAGAGGGATGATTGTTTGCCCGCTTTTAAATCCCCCCACTGTACATTTCCACCGCCACCTCGCCAGTCACACCCACCTTAATCAATGCAGACTGAAAACCAAGGTTATTTATAGATATAGACCAACCTGCCAGTCAAAGGTTATTAAAAAAAGAAAAAAAAATAGCACAGGAACTCAGTAGGAAGATTGCATCCCCTTTCCCTTCTCCTTCCCTTTTCCCTTTGTCATAGTGTTTCCCTTTTGGCAGGTACCGCTGGACCAAAGATGGGGAACAGTTTGATCCAGAACAGGTGCGAGGGATCAAACAGTTGGAAAATTCGGGGACTCTGATCATCCATGCAAACAATGGAAACGTGCCAACTCGGTTCAATGGGTTGTATCGGTGTTATGCCAGCAACATATTGGGCACAGCCGTGAGTTCTGAGAGCCGCATCATTGTCGAGAGTGAGTACCTCTCTGCCTCCCCCCCTCTCCCAAGGTGTCCTTCCTACTTTCCCCCCTCCCTCTTTTATAAGTGTGCCCAACAATTCTCTTTCTTCCTCCAGCTCTGCATCATTTGCACACACCCATGTGCACATGCGTTCACACGCAAACATCTCTCATTCTGGCTTTGCTGATGAAGCTTATTTTAGGAGCCACAATGATGCAGCTTAAGGTGTCCATTGCACAAATATACACCTCCACCCCACTTCCAATTTTTTGAGAAATAAATTTCTCCCTCCCTCTTGCCATAAATGTCTTTTTTCCCCGTTTACCTGCCTGGGTTCCCTGGAGTGAAGCCAGTTGCTCTTGTTCCCATGGATACAGTTGTCATGGTAGCATCGTGTCATGTGATGTAATTGCCAGCCCCTCCTTCTCCTGCCTCCTTTCTCTCCTGCCCAGCCGTAGCTCTCTGCCCGTCTGTCAAGGAAGAAGGAAAGATTTTAAAAGCTGGAGGGATGCAGGAAAGGAGACACCCATTGACATCAAAAAGGATGCATTTTTCAGCACTGGTAGTGATGTTTTAAGAACATCCTCGCTTTGTTCCAAAATTGCACTGATCCTTTACTCTTCATCTTGGCTGAAGTTCTCAAAATAAATCAGAATTAGTAATAAAATGCTATTGCTGTGGCTATTGAGGAGGTCGTGCTAATAAAGATTTCAGAAATGAGTCAAGAAGTCCCGTCTAAACAAGAGTGTGTAAATGACTACTAGTTCCCTGAGACAGCAGATGGGTTGGTAAACTGCCTCAGCTTCAATTGGCTGAGCATGGCAAAGCATCTCCACTCTCACTGAGCAATGATCAAAAACCTGTTAAAATACATTTTCCCCGAGGCACAGTGAATAACTGGGTATATTAAAAACCTAGCCCAGAGGACTCCGCAGCCAATTTCTCTCCATGTACAGTAGCCTTCCCCCCCCCTCCATGATAATCCCCCCTCCCCACATTCACTAATTGCTTCGATTCCTGCTTCATTGCCTTCCAGATGCCCCACAGTGGCCAAAGGAGGAGGTGGCACCCATCACAGCAGAAGAAGGGACCCACACAGTCTTACCCTGTAACCCACCCACCAGTGCCGATCCGCCTAAAATCTACTGGCTCAACAGCAGTGAGTATTAGAAACTGTTAGAAGGGAAGAAGGAAGGAAAGGAGGGGAGGAAGGAAGTAGGGAATGGAGGGATGAAGGAAAGGAAAGGAGTGGAGGGTGGAAGAGAGAGAGCAAGAAGGAGAGATAGTAGGAGAGGATGAAGAAATGTGGAGGAGAGCTAGGGGAAGAAGAAAGAGGTAAGGAGAGGTGGGTGGAAGGGAGAGAAAGAGAAGGAGAGGAGGGNGGGGGGGGGATATCCACAAACCTCATAAAATGCAAATATCCCTCTACGCTTTATGTACAGGAGAAATATGCCCCTTCTAAGATGATGAATTCTCCCATCTGCAATTTTTATATGATCTTGTTTAAAACGTAATTTCAAATAAAGCTCTTTTTAACTGAACAACATAATTTTAAGCAGTGACCTAGATCAGTAATGTCCAACTGAGTTAGAACCCAGTTTTCTACACATTCTTTTTCTTCTTCCCTTTCTCTGCAGCCCTACCCCGTCGGTGGAATGGATCTACCTGAACAGACTGAGCCCTTCACCTGGCGTGACCTTTGAGAACTACAACAAAACCCTTTGCATCCCAAGTGTGACGGAGGATGATGATGGAGACTATCAGTGTATCGCTCGTAATGAGCACGGCAGCATCCGCCACACCTATACCGTTAACGTGGAAGGTATTTCCATCCACAATTTTAATCCAGTAGGGCCCGATAGGATAAAAATGGGAAGGATTTGGAGTAGTCAGACTGGCAAGTAGCAAGATTTCTCTTTTGAGAAAAGATTATGGTGAGATGAATAGATGTAACCACGCAATGTCACTCCAAATTCCTTTCTCCTATGGCCTACCATTTGATGTGACATTATTAGGTTGGATTTCTCTCACTAAACGACATTCAGTTGTGTGCAGAGGTTCAAGTGGAATGGAGGCACAGCGTAATTATGTCATATGTGATTTAGGATGATAGCTGGAAGAGTGGGAAAAAATAGGGAGGCAACAGCCATTTTTTAATACTTTGGGGGAAGGGAGAAAGGGGAAAGAAATTGCATTAAGGGAAAATATTGAATAAGGCAGCTTACTTTGAAAGATGGAAGTTTCTAAAAAAAATGTAGTTTTCCAATTATATATATATATTGATTTTAGTGGCAAAGCAAAAAGAGCTGAGGAATCCAGCCCATAGATCTTAGCAGCTCGGTGCTCTCTATATATGGTGGTATAAAACCAAATATAACTGAAATATTGACTGTGAATAAAAACCTGGATTTTAAGCTTAACCAGACATGCTAGCTATAATGCAGCCCAAGCTTAGCACACCATTGCATTCATTGGAGAAAATTTAAGCGGATGCTTTGCATTTTCTTTCAAGGCCATTAAAATTTAAATTTCAAAACTTCAGTTGGATTGTTCTCCCCATTAAATAAAGACAATAATTATTATTCAGTTATTATTCTGATATTTCATGGTTTTAGGACTTAAGCTTAATACCAGTGATTGCCAGCAAGAAACAGGTGTTTTTTTTTGCATTCCAAGGACTACACATACCACATCTTAGCAAATCTTTACACAATATTTTATTGCAGCACACAATTTCCCCATAAGAGCCTGTAGCTTTGGATCAACTCCACTTTTCTAGACTTTGCAAAGTGATGTTGCCCTGCAAACGTGTATAATACTCAACACTTTATAATCAGTCATTTCATACTCAGTCCAAAACTAAATTGACAATTATTTGAAATAGATGAAATTTCCTAGTTGAAGAAAAAGGCAGGTTCTTCCCTTGAATAATTTATAAATTTATAATTTGTAATTTTAATAGATTTGTATGCTGCCCAATCCCGAAGGACTCCGGGAGGCTTACATAAAAGCAATTAAAATATTAAAAAGATTAAAAACACAAAACAATACAGTTTAAAACAGAAAAACACAACATGCGCTCAGTTATAATGGGGCTGAAGTTCAGTCAAGCTCAACAGCCCCAGGCCTGCCAAAACAGCCAGGTCTTAACCGACTTACGGAAGGCCAACCGACTTAAAAGAAGGACTGTGCCACTTTTGCCCTCCAGATGTTTTGTATGATGACCCCACTCCCCCCAGTCTCTCTAATTATTGGTTGGCATGGTGATTCAAAACAAATAAAGCATCAACTTGCCTATACTTGACTGAAATATGAGAGGTAATAGAAAGGGAGTTTAAGGACAACTCATTACAAAGGGAGTATTGTGTTAGTCTATATCACGGGTGTCAAACTCGCGGCATTGCGTTGCCATCATGTGATGTTTCGCGACGGTTTCCCCCTTCGTGGAGCTGGGGTGGGCGTGGCTTGCGCATGATGCATCCGCCCCTCGGGCCGCCAGTTTGACACCCTGGGTCTATATAAAAAGAGATCTGGGAAGTTAACGTTCCTCACTGTAGTGAGCTAATTTTGTCGTAATGGATGCTATTTTCACGCGGTCTTCTTTTCTCAGCTGCTCCATACTGGATAAAAATGCCCGTGAGCCAGATTTATGGACCAGGGGAGAACGTCCGCCTGGATTGCGAAGTTGATGGGAAACCTAAGCCAAAAGTGTCATGGAGCATAAACGGGACTCCTTTAAAAGGTGAGGGAATGGGTGAGAAGAAAGAAAGGCAGAGAAAAAGCAGAAAGCTACAATACCACCGTAGCTTCCTGGGCCTAAACTCTTGGCTGCTTTTCAGATGTGATGCCAGATCCCAGAAGGAAGATTCAATCAGGGGCTTTAATCTTCAGCGAGGTGCAGCCCAATGACACCGCTGTTATCCAGTGCCAGGCCCACAATAAGCACGGCAGTCTCCTGGCCAATGCATACATCCTTGTGGTCTGTAAGTTCATCTCTCCACTTTGAATCAAAAGGGGGCTGCACACAGTTCAAAGGACAGGCAAAAAAATAAATAAACCGAGCAAAGGCTATTCCAATTGTTCTATCACATCACCAACCTTTCAGTTTCCACATTAAAATTCCTCCAGTAGCTTTTCCTCCTGCAGCGAGTTAGGAGTGTGAATGAAGTCTGCACTTCAGTCATCTTTCCAGGGAATGGCATTCAGTATTTATAAATTATGTACAAAGTCTGCTTCTCTTTTTGCTCAGGCCTGATAACAAAGGCCCTTTTTGCCTCCAAATTAATGGCATGATGTGCAGTGGCGGGATTCAATTTTTTTTTACTACCGGTTCTGTGGGCGTGGCTTTGTGGGCAGGGGAAGGATACGGCAAAATCCTAATTCTCTCCTGACCCCAACTAACCTGCTTTCCTGCTCTGTTCTCCTGTTCAGGGCAACAACAACAACAAAATCAGCTGGGAAGCAGCAGGGGCGGGGCCAGCCTATTTGCCGGTTCTCCAAACTCAAATTTTCCACTACCGGTTCTCCAAAACCTGTCAGAACTGGCTGAATACCACCTCTGATGATGTGGCATTGGAGATAGCAACCCACTGAGGACGTGTGTAGTCATCTTAGCGGGTTTAGCAATGGCTCTTCCCAGAAACCTTTAACTTCAGGAAAGGAAGGAAGGAAATAGATTAAAAAGTGAAGGTTTATTTAACCTAACCATCTCATGAGGAGAACACTTATTCTTGGTTCACCGACAAATGCGCGCACGACAAAAGCGCGCCGACAAAACTGCGGTGAGAAAACCGCGACCTCGAAATCGCGCCCACAACAGCCCACTGACAAAAGCGCGCCATCAACCAACAATGCAAAAACAAGGTAATAACCCTAACCCTAACCCTGAACCTAACCCTAACCCTGAACCTAACCCTAACCCTAACCCTGAACCTAACCCTAACCCTGAACCTAACCCTAAC